CATGAATGAAAATATTAAATTAATTACATTTTTGTTTTTCAGGAGACTTTGCAGTCCTGCTAAATAGTGGCATGAACTACAAACAAGCTATATGTTTCAACTTCTTCTCAGCCTGCTCATGTTTTATTGGACTTGTTATTGGCTTGTTGCTAGGTTACTCGACATCAGCAGTTAAATGGATTTATGCACTTGCTGGTGGAATGTTTCTTTATATATCATTAGTTGACATGGTAAGTTATTTAATTTTAAAAATATATAGAATTTGAACTGTTTCCTGCTAGGGCCCATTCAGTTGACTAGAATATATTTTCACTTTTCCTCTCTATAATTTTAAAATTAAATACATTCTCATCCCATTTATTCATTTATTCMCATTCAGTTACAAGAAGCGACAGAGATGTCTTTCAGAGAAGGTGCAGGTTCGCTGAGGAAAAGTTTAAAAATGTTTGCATTACAAGGCTTTGGCATGTTCTTTGGATTTTCAGTCATGTTTATTTTAGCCGTGTATGAAARTAACTTTAAGATATAGGCTATTATGTATAATAATAATGTTTGTATCAAATAAACTTGTTTTCAGTTCTTGCTTGGTACATGTATTCGTTTTAAGGGATAGACTTGTAATATAACAAACAAAACGAATTCCACTATAATTTCACTGAACTCCAAAAATAGGTGTTTTTTTTAATGCAGGGTTTACTGGTAGCATTGTGTTTATAATATGCCTCGATGAATTCTTAGTTGATGTCTGAATAGATCCTAACTAGATACTATATATGATCAGTGCTAAATTGTTAAGACTGTCTACTGATCTGCACATAGAAGGACAAAAGACTTGTGTAACGACACTTAAAAATTACACGAGAGCCAACGTCACGAAAGCCTTGATGTAGGTTTCAGTCACGTACTGATCAATTCTCGGTTTTCACATGACGTCATCAGTCGAAAAAATTCTAAAATCACAGACACACAACATTGCAGCACTAAAATACCTTGAAGAGCATGATAGAAGTTCTCTCCGAAATTTTAAACTTTTTTTAACATTCAAAAATATGTCACGCAATACTGTCACGCGACTTGAAACG